ATCCGTTAAATTATTATTATTATTATTATTTTTTATTTTTTAATTCCTTATGGGTTATCCTAATGGACATCACTTTATATTCACGACTTTTGGGGACTCCACTCATAAATAATTTTGACCCAAATTATATGTTATTTAGGTCCTTAAGTTTAATATTATTATTTGTTACTTCACCAAATAATAATATTACTGGGTGTTCACATTTAATCATTCCACAATCAAAATTAAGTTCTTTAGCCAATATACAGTAATTTGATCACTTACTTTGGTCAAACAATATAATGACCCAATGTATTAATTACACATATTTAATTCCAATTAGATCTAACATCAAGTCCCTTCGCCAGTTAAATTGTTTTGCTCCTTACTCAGGGGAGAGGATTACGTGTCCCCCACCGGGTTGTGTCGGTGTATTTGCCGACTCTCTAAGATCAGGGTTGAGATTTCCCCTGCCTGCTTTAATTACTGACTATTTACGCGACTGAGGTCTCGGTTTGTGCCAGATTGCGCCGAATAGTTGGAAAAGGATTATAGGTCTCATGGTCCTTTTAAAAGAAAACAAGTGGGATATGCCAACGGTTGAAGAGATTAGGAGTCTCTTCACTTTCAAGAGATGTACTGATAGGCAAGTGGCGGACCCACTAATTTGTTTTTCAAGCTCGGGGAGGCCTCAAGGAGGATTGAAAGTCGGTGATTTGATTACTAAAATTCCAGACTCTCTTCACGGTTTTCAAGAGGAGTGTGCTATGGATTGGTGGAGATTGGCAAACCCCAAATTTCTCTAAACCTTTGATCGATGGGATGTCAATCCCAATTGAAGTTAATTCTGCTTATTGTAAGTTCTTTTAACTTTTTGTACCGATTTGTTCCGACTCCTTATGTTTCTTGTACTAACAAGTCGGAAATTTTACTGTTTGCAGCCCGTAGGACGAAGGAGCCAAAACTTGGTGCAGAATTGAGAAATAGAATAATCGAGCTATTAAAGCTGAAAAAAGAAAAACGCGGCTTCAAACTTGTCTTGAAAAATTCGAGATTAGAAGCTGTTGGTCTTTGTCCTCGTGTCCCAGATTCTGACTTTGCTCCAGGTAATCTTAGGTTTTAATTTTTCTCCTTTTGAAGTCGAGTGATTACAAAAGTATCATAACTTGTGTGTCTTTCTTGTATGCAGTTTACGATCCACTTCTCAGTGTTCTCGGATTTAAGAATATCAGAGACGCCAAAGCTTTTCTTCAGAAGTCTCCAAATCTTGATCTTCGAACCAAAGTTGGAAAAAGCAAGGAGCAACGTCTTTCCGAGATGGGTCGTAAGAGATTAGTGAAGTCGTTTTTGAAGAATCCAGTTATGAATAAGGATACCCACGTCGACGTCGGCAGCTGCAGTCGAAGTGGTGCAGCCAAATCCTTTGGCTATAATGAATTCAAGTCATGTTGCCGCTATTGTTGCTGAGACGGTTAATCAGGCTGATCCTGAACCGACTTTAGAGACTATTCAAACGGAAATTCGGCCAGTTATCGAAGTTGTCTCTGATGAAACTGAAGTCGGTCATAATATTGTTGAAGAGGAGGAGATTCCTTTGACGAGACAAAGGAAAAGACGTGTTGAGAATGTTCCGATTAACGAGGAACGATCAAAAAAGAAATACGATGTCGGTCGTCGTGAAAAGAAGAAGAAAGAGCCTTTAGTTGAGAGGTCCTTCTTGAAGATTGATGAAGAAAGGGCTGAAAATTTTAAACAGTCCAGAGAGTTGGTCGAGAAATGGTTCTCGACTTTTGAGTCAGCCGAGATTCCAAAAATTCCATGTGAGAACGAACTACCAAGCCATGTGATTGATGCAGCTCCGGTCCCAATGATGGTGTGGGATCCGAGAACCGAGATCAGCGTTTCTTCAATGTCAAGTACTTGCAAGTTCAAATATGCCAAAGCTGTCTTGGTCGTGCACTTGTTATCATGATTACAGCCGGGGACGATTTTAGGATGAATGCTGCTCAGTTGGAGGAGAAAATGAATACCTTAGAGCTTCGAGATGTAACCATGGCATCTCTGAAGGAGGAAGCAGCCACCACAGAGGAAGCTTTAAAACTGAAAATCACCGAGAAAGACGAACAGCTCGGAATTGCTCAAAATGAGATTGAAGTCTTGAAGACCGAGAAAGATGGTCTTGATGCTGCGGTTGTAAAGTTGTCGAGCCAAGTGATTGAGTCTGAGCAGCAGGTTAAAACTCTTGAAGATCAACTCTCTCGATGTCAAGAGTTACTTCGCAAAGAGCAAGAAGCTCATGAATTTACTCGGAACAAACGTTCTGAAGTAGAAGAACTTTTGCAATTAGAGCTGCTGCAAGGGCCAAGGAAGATGAGGCCTTGGAGACTATTTGAAAAGCAATGCTCGCGCAGAAGCAACTAAAACTGGGGAGGAAGTCAGGTGAAACCAGCGGTGCTCAAGAGGATGCTCCAATTATTAATGTAGTACAAGGCGATGATGGAGTAGTAGGCCCTTCTGGAAAGGATGATAATGCTGGGACATCACTTGTTTTCTGTATTTTTCTTTTAATTTTATATGTGCCGGCACATATACCGCGAGATGAAGATTAAATATTATTTTCATTCTCAAGTGAAATAGGTGTAATAGTTTTTGAACCATTCTTATCATGAATGAATTTTCTGTTTTATTTTTCTTCATTCATAATAGAAATTTTTACGGCAAGTCTTTCGAGCTTGGGATAAGAAGCATCATGGTTATTTTATTTCAACTCGGAATTCAATACCTTTAAAATATCCAACATAATTTTAATTCTTTTAAAAAACATAAGAATGTTGGATTATATCTTATTTGGAAAAAAATTGGAAAACAACTTTTATTGTTTGAACCGAGTTAAAATATAAGTAATTTTGAATGGACTTACCCGATTTCCGAGCTCACTTGAAAATCTAATGGAACATCGGTATTTTTTGTTTCCGACTAACCAATTTTGCTATGGAGCCATCGGATGACTCGACTTATGGAGCCATCCACACTTATTCACCAATAGTATATCGACATGTGTCCTACAATAAATACATTTTGGACATGTGTCAACACATTAAGTGATGGATGGTTCCATAAGAAAACCATCTGATGGCTCCATAGAATTTTTGTCCGACTAACATATACAGCATTTAATTTATCTTGCTGAATTTGTCAAGTGTTCGAACCTCGACAAAGTTCGATTTCCGGGAACAGGCCGCACCGTCCTGTTTTATTGTTTCGGTAGAAATATGGATTTTACCTTTTCCGAATCATCTTTGGGATTGGTATTTGAAGATAATAATCCACCCATTTTAATGTAAGCCCTTTAACCTCCCCAAGTTATATAACTTGGTCTTTTGAAGGTTATTATTTTGGCCGAAAGGGTATAAGTCCTACCGAGCTGAGTAACTCGGTGACGGTCAAGACTTTCCCTTATTTATAGTAAAATTTTAAAGCAAGGATATAGGCCCTTTCAAGCTAAAAACTTGGTGTAACAAAGGCTTTTATCCTACCGAGCTGAAAAACTCAAAAAAAAAAAAAATTAAGGACTCATTAGCACACAATTTTCTTCTTTTCGTCAAAAAGTCTACATAGTCATTTTTACATTATTGGAAGTATTTCTTGAGATAAACAACATTCTATGGATATTGTAGAGGAGTTCCATCCGGGCGTTCAAGTCGGTAGGTACCTTTTGGGAGTACTTGATTTATCTTGAATGGTCCTTCCCACTTCGGTTTTAGAGGCCCCAGATCTGCTCTAGTAATTATCTTAAGTACATGTTCACCAACTCGGAATGAACGAGGTTTCATCTTTAAATTGGGATATCTTTCACTTCTTTGTTTGTATGCATAGGTCAACCATGAAGCGAATTCCTTCATCAGAGATTTTCAGTACATATTTTCTTGACATTCTATGGTGTTAATTTTTTTTTTTTTCCTTCTTCCTTTATTTTATTTTTTATTTTTTATTTTTTTTGTGAAATTGGTACTCTGTTGACCAGATATATAAATATCCCTCCCTATGTATTAATTCAAAACTGTTGAGCCTAGGTGGCAGATTCTTACGTTTCGGATGCTGACATGACAAAAATCTATGCTTCGTGATGTTTTTATATTATTTTTAATCTTGAATTAGATTTGATATTAGACATAAATAACTTTACACATATATTCATTAACTCAACACCCATGTTGTACATGGGTATTAGTACTAGTAAAGTTTTAAAGTTAAATATTTTTTATTTTTACTTAATGTCCAGAATTTTGGATCTGTATTTACAGTAATATTTGAGAATTTAATATTAAAATTCTAGATAATGAACATATTACATTTTCATTAATGATTTTATTATTATGAGCAATTGTTTATTATCATTAGATAACAGTTTGATTATTATTATTATTATTATTATTATTATTATTATTATTATTATTATTATTATTATTATTATTATTATTATTATATATATATAATATTCTAAAGTTGTTTGACTATGTTATTAAAACAATTTACTAATTGTATTTAAAGAAATTTTTTCATGAGATACGAAAGAAAAAGATAATATTGATGTTAGTATAAATAACTTGAAATAATTGTTTATTATTATGTAATTTATATTTAATGTGAATTATTATTAGTTGGTATTAGCAATAATTATTATGTAATATAATAGAAAAATACACTATTACACTTAATATGATGCATTAACGTGAGAAGTAAAAAAATATTAATGGTAAATTTCGTAACTGAAAATGGAGGAAAAATTTTAGAGGTTTTATTAAATAGGTTTTATTAAATGCTATATGTTAGCAATTATATATATATATATATATATATATATATAGATTCCAAAACAATCTAATATTGCCTTAAATCAAATACTATAAGATTGCAAGAATATCTCATATAACAAATAATCAAATAAAAAATCAACTTGAATCATTGAAAATTATGAGTGACTCAAAAAAAAAAAAAATAAAAAAAAATAAAATAAAAAATCAAGAAATCACTGCAGGTTTTTTGGTGACATGACTTGAAAACAACCAAAGTACCAAAGCACAAAGAAACAAAACCAATGGAATCAAATGAATGGCTTTTTCTGCTCCTGGTGAAGCCTTCAAAGACATGACCTTCTTAGAGACATCATCATTTGAAATGAGTCCATTGTCAAGGTTATAATTATTACCCGTTAACGAGTTGTGGCTCGACTCGAAACCCTTCAAAGCTGCCGGTGGAAAGCTGACCGAGAACTCGTCCGATGACCTGCCCGTTGCCCTATGCATATTTTCTTGATAACCAATTTCTTTTGAGTATGTGATAAATACTTTTTAAACCTACATTTGATGATAATATTTTAGTTTTTGTGGGAACATAATGCATGGAATTGAATAGGGTTTGCGAGAGTTTGAAATACCTTAGTTAGTTCCTTCTTGTGATATATGACTCAAAAAACATGTGATGCATATGTTTTAAATAGATTTTTTATTTATATTTTTGGAGAGGATTTTTAGGCATTAATTATAGCAAGTATATATATACATATTTAAGTGAGATTTTTATAGCACATGTAATTTTGGAGATTGATTTAATTTTCCTTTGGCATACTATTGCATTTTTGTCAGCATATCTTCTAATTCTGGTATGAGTATGACACAATTTAAGCTATCCAAAATAAAATAAAACAAAATAAAAAGTAATAGGAGAATTAACCATTTATGATTTATGTATTTGTTAAAAAAAATCTCCTTAATTCTCCTTAATTAATTTTATTTATTTATGTGCTAACTACTGTATTTATTGTCATATTTTAATAATGTTCTCCATTTATTCCACTTTGATTATTCTCCTCATTAAAAAAAATATATTTATAATATATTATTTACAAAAAAAATTGTTTAAAACTATATACAAAAGAACTCAATAAAAAAGGGAGAGTAATCCAAATTATCAAAATGACACAATTTGATAAAATGGTGGTCAATTTGTTATAAAAAAATTATTTATTTTTATCTTTTATTTAATTTTTTATTTTTTTTGTTTTGTTTTTGGAACTACGATTTTTGTCTAGCTGGACACATCTGTTTTATCAGCGATTTTTTTATTTCATTAAAAAAAAAAAAAAAATTGGACAAAAAAAAAATATGGACCAAAATCAAAAGCTCGTATTAGGAGAATACGTTTTACAATGTAAAACGTATTTAGAAAATAAGTTTTATAAATAAAATTAATTTTATAATTTATAATTTATTGTAAAACGTATTTTAGTACAATTAATTAATTGTAAAACGTATTTCAATGATACGTTTTATAGATAAAATTAATTTTATAATTTATATTTAATTATAAAATGTATAGTTTGTGTTATAACTTATTAATTGTAAAACGTATTTAGAAAATACGTTTTATAAATAAAATTAATTTTATAATTTATATTTAATTTTCTTCATTTTTGTTATATATTAGCTTATTTAATGAGGCGACTTCGGGTGTTCTGTCGGCCTTGATAAGCGATTCGAGCATTAACGAAAAGTGATTTCGAGAAAGCACGAGAAGAGGAGAAGCCATTTGTGGCGTCGATTTATTATTTCGATGTCCCGATCATTTATTTAGAGAAGCTCGAGTTCGATGGGCATATTAGTAAAATAAATAAAAAAGTCATTTACGTGGGTCCCGCAAGGTCACGTGTGACTTCAGTTTACCGAGAATTGAGTTGGGACGTATAGATGATTCAGGCACGATGTCATGCGGGGCATTTATCGAGTATTTTGGAGTTCCGAGCATTTAATTAGAGAAGCTTGAATTCCCGTGGGAATAGTAGCAAAATGAGTGAATTTATCAAAGGACGAGTTTTGAGCGTTTACGAAACTTTATTTTTCTTGATTCTTTCAGTTTTTCGTCTATTCAAGAGGAGGTATAAATCTTGACTATCATTTTAGTTAATTTTGAGCTTGGACGAGTCCGAACAGCCCCAAAAGGCAAAGTCACGCGAAACATGTTTAACGTATTGGTCAAGAGCTTTGGGAGAATATGATTTCAAGAATAATTTGGCCATTATTTGTCCCATTTTTGTTCCATTTTTCATCATTGTTTTGCTTTTTTTTCTCCTCGTTTTAGGTCTTTTCTGTGGTTTTTAGTCATTTTTATGGTTTATTGCGTGTTTCCCTCTATTTTGAGTGTTTCTGTGTTTTTTGTGTTTTTCTTCTGTTTTTCTCCGTTTTCTTCTTGTATTTGGTGTGCAGGTCAAAAATCCCGTGACCAATAGAGTTCTCCTGAAACCTGACCATTCAAGAACAACTAAGTAGAAGGGTCAGTTGCGACAAGTGGGAAAAAGCAAAATTTGATTTCGAGTTCGGATGAGTCCGAACGGGGCCGAAATGCAAAGTCAAGCAAGTTGTCGATCCTTTGTAAGTTGGAAATATCAAGAGGATTGTACTCTGGGAAAAGGTTTGTTTTGCTGGTATATTTGAATAGAGGGGTTCGTTGGAGACACATAGGAAAAAACGGAATCGAATTCTGAGTCCGAACGAGCGTAAACGAGCCCGAGACGCGCAGACGGATGAGCTGCCAGGCACCGCGCGCGCCCGCGACCCGGACAGAGACTCCCAGGCTTACGCGTGCCGCGGTGCGACAGCAGCAGTCACCGCGGCGCGACAGAAGCAGTCCTCGCGCGCGATGCAGCACCACGGCGCGACACCGACCCTCTCCACGGCGCGAGACCCCTTCGCGGCGCGGCATGAGCAATTCTCACGAGCGCGGGAATCCTTTCACGGTGCGGCACTACTCCCTTATATATATAGCGATCGGGACTTCACAGAAAATAACTCTCGACCGGGTGAAAACCCTAGGTCGGAGAAACACCACGACAACTTCTTTTCTCCTTCATTTTCTTCTTCTCCATCATTTTTCTTCTTCTTTTTATCTTTCTTTTCTATTTTCCTACTTCTTCTTCTTAGTTAGGGTTCAAGCTTGTAATTCAAATTCAACTCTTGGGATTGCGATTTATTGTAAGTTCTTCTCTTTATTTTTAATTCATGAATAATGGTTGAATTGAAAGAGATGATGAATTGTGTTGAACTGATATTACGTAGCTAAACCTATTTGCTAGGGATAGGGGATAATTGTTCTTGTTTAACGTGCATTTTGTCGGGTTTGAATTGTTCGTTCTTATGTGAGTTGATTTAATTCGGAATTGATGAAATCGATGTTTGATAGATTGATGTAATCGAAAAGTGGCATTTCAATCTTGCTATTGGTGACAATTAGATGTTAATTTGTCGAGTTTGGTTTTGTTGATTCCCTATGATTAGTCGATTAAACACCTTCTAGTCTAATTAGCGACTTTTAGAACCAAAAGAGGAGAAGTCGTAGACTTAGGCTCGCATGAGGTAGACGATTTCGTAACTGAATAATCTATACGTTTTTGGTTGAAATACATGCTTGTCGGTGTCTTATCCCTTGTCACGAAAAGTTATTGGGATTGGATAATTGACATGTATTGTATGCTCGAGCTTGTTCGTCTATGTTCAATACCTTGTTACGAAGAGTTATTGGGAGCGAACCTCTAGATGTTTAAGCGAGAGTGTCAATCTGGAATAGAATGATCAATGTCCCAGTTTTGCAAATAGAACTTGATTTGATTATCCCCGATTCCCTAGTTTCTTTATCTTTGTTTCGTTAATATTCTTAGGTAGATTATTGCTTTTATTTTATTTCTTAGTTGATAATTGATTCCCCCTTACTTGATTAGAGTGTTTAGGATTTTCTTTCTTTTTGTGTGTGATCAATGCTATTTCTAATTTCGAACCGCCTTCCTCGTGAGATCGACCCGGGGAACGAATCTTTTGATTCGGTTCTCGGTAAAAATAAAAATAATTTGCTACAACAACCATGGAAGCATCATTGAATAGAGGGGTTCGTTAGCTACGTATAGAAAAAAATAGAACTCTATTCCGAGTTCAGACGAGCTCAAACGAGCCCGAAACACAAAATAAAAATCACCCATTAACAAATCCTCCATGGACCATCTATTTATATAATGGGTGTTTTGTTAATTATTTAGCCCGTGAGGAATAGACGTAGCCCGAAAATTGACCCGACAATCATGGCTCTGTAGAAGGGTTCATTGGCGACATACAGGAAGAAGCGAAAATCAATTTCGAGCTTGGACGAGTCCGAACGGGCCCAAAAAGAAAAATTGCGCGAAACACGTTTAATGTATTGGTCAAGAGCTTTGAGAGAGTATGATTTCGAGAATAATTTGGCCATGCAAGCATCATTGAATAAAGGAATTCGTTGGCTACATATAAGATAAAACGAAACTCAATTCCGATTTCAGACGAGCCCAAACGAGCTCAAAACACAAAATACATACTATATATTCATTTTTTTCATTAATTTTTTAAATAGAAAATGTATTATCAAAATAAATAATTTTTTAAATATAAAACGTATTATTTTATTTATTAATTCTTTTTAATTTAAAAAATAACTTAATTTTAAAACATATTTTCAGAATACGTTTTTGTGCATAATTTTTTTATTTTTTTATTTTTGTCCAGTTATTTCTTTTTTTTTTTT